ATGTGTGTACTCTGTACCCTTGAATGATAGTGCAACAGACAAAGGGTGGGTACCCCTGAGGGAGAGAGAAACTGTGCAGATGCCCTCCTGGCTGCACCCCTCGTGGGGATTTAGGTGCAACTTAGATGAGAATGCAAGGCGTCTGTTACACTGTATGTCGATAGCCATGGAATCGCAGGTGAGGACCCAGCCAGCCCCCGAGACCAGTACTTCCCAGTATTGGTGCACAGACAGAGCAGCCTATTGTTTACACTGCCCATGCCACTCACACATTCATTCAGCAGGCACCCAGGGGTTAAACATTCCAACTGTCTTCCCTTGAGGGTGGTCCTAACTAGCAAGAGTTGATCAGATTTTCCTTCTGCTGGAGCTGAGCAAGACTGACAGACAGATGAACTGCAGTGTCCCTGGGGGTCTTACTGGAATCAGGAAGGCAGTCAGATAGAGAGACAGACAGACTCTGTCCTCCTCCCTTTGGGATTCAATGTGAGCTGCTCAAGTGGGGAGCCAAGATACCTCCTCCACACCTTTGAAGGGACTTGAGAAATCTTGAGGCTGTACCTTCACCTTGGGACCTGGAGAAGTCCTTGCTTTGTGAGGGCCACAAAGAGTGACCAAAGAGGTCAACATTGTCAGATGACCAAAGAGGTCACATGGCCTGGCCAATGCACCAGGTGCAATGGCAAGCAGAAACACCAAAACAACATTCAGGATTTGGAGGGAGATTTATTTATGTTGATAGGCACTGATTGGGATCATTCTCAAAGTATCAGGCCCTGATCTCTGGTGGTCTATGGCTTATACTAAAGGGGAAAACTGTACAAGAGAAATTGTTCTTTTGAAACTGCCTAGCTCTGTAACTGCTTCATGGCTTCATGGCTTTGTAATTACTTTCTCCTGTAATCATGACAGCATAACCAAACATGCAGGATGCCTGATTGTACCATTATACCAAACTTCATGAACTGATGATCATTAATCTGCCCTTGAAACTGATGATCTCACTCTGCTAGATTATCAGAAGAACTGTCAGGCTGGTCTCCCTCACCTTTGTACCTCCTGCTTGTGCATCATATGAAAGCCTAGACCACCAGAGATCCGGGCCTGATAATCTGGGAATGATCTTGATCAGTACTAATCAATGTAAATAAATCTGCCTCCAAATCCTGGGTATTGTTTTGGTGTTTCTGCTTGCCATTGCACTATGAGATAAGCAAGCAGGAAGTACAGAGACAGAATGGCTTGTCAGTTGGGGATTGGTTCTTACAACATGCATCATAGTGACCAGCTATGCATCACAGCAACCAGCTGTTTCTACAAAACAAAAGTAGCAGGAACTATAACCAGAACTATTACCTGGGCAACTAACAAACTGAAGTATACTGGATGGGGGTGGTGCATCTTCTGCTACAGGGATAGTTGTTCTGTCAACTGGAGGGTTGGGACATTAGTCAGGGACCTTACTTCCTTCAAAGTGGCATTAATGGGATTTTTTTATTTCTGTCTGTGTCTATATGCTTTCTCCTCTGTCTTTCTTCTTTTCCTGCTTCAACTCATTGTTTTCTGCATAGAGACAGAGGGAGGGTAGTTGAGAGAGGGAGACA